GAGCAACGCTTAAACGCTCAGAAACCCAGAACAGAAATGGTATTATGTGTATCTATGTTCTCCTTCCCCAAACTGGCAAGAGCCAGAATTTTTGTCTTCAGAGGGATTTCATCTGAACAGAACCTGTTTTTATGATATATGCTCATTAGTAGCTCATGCTTTTCCCCGTTGAGCTACTGGCTGTTATTGACTGTTATTCGCTTATTCATGATAACGATAAAATCAGTATCTTCACACACACTCAGTAAAACAGCACTCAAGAATGTGCAGTTAGGTGCTCAGTACCAAAGTGATAACTCATCACCGAAGTGGTAACAGAGTATGCGGCTTCATACTGGAATTTAGTGAGCACAATAGCTCTTATTATATAACAAAATTTATCATTGGCCCTCTTTAAATAGTGCTTTAATCTTTAATAAAGTTATCCTATTTAGTAATAAAAAAAAGGACTGGTAGACCAAAGACATCCCAGAATATGAACATTAACTATTCAAAGACCTGTCTATATGTACTGCATTCTGAGAAATAAAAAAATACATGGAGAACCCAACTTCTCCAAAATAGACTGGTACTAATACTTGTTTCAACATATATGCTATAGTTGGTCCAGGCATGGCCATGTTTTTTATTTACTTACTACTATTTGTTAAACCCTTCATGCATTAATTCAATTACAATAATATAAACATTATCCGTGAACCACGGAAGTGAAAAAATAGGATAATTAAATATTCCTAACAACTGTACAGGATCATTTCTAACAGGGTAATAGACTACATTCTGTGCTGGACCTCAGACATCCAGACACGTATTATTCACCATCCTTGACTCATCACCACCAGTGACCATCAAGAGCCTGTGAATCTTTTCCTTCATTTATACTTTGTTCGTTGATTTTTTCATTAAATTACACTTACCAATAAGCAAATAATCACAAATCATAAAAACAAGAGTAAGAGCCTTGGATATCCCAAATATCTACCTATAAATCATTTCCGACATATGCTAGATCTGTTTCTCGAATCGACCCCAATGACTCCCACATGGATGCCTCCACATGACAGTGCTTATCAATCCCATGGGCATCACTGGACCATGTTCAGCCTCCTTTGATTATATTTCCAACTTCTTAAAATGCACTGACCACTCTAAACTGCCCAAACTAAGACAAGAACTTCAACAATTACTCATATTGTTCTCCATGCTCCTAAGACGACCACCGAGTTCAAGGTCATGCAGAATGCTAAAATCAGCTAAGCGCCCATCCTGAGGAGTATAAGAAAGAGCAGAAAATAAAATTTGCAACAGTCTATCCATTAGTCCTTTGTATTCCATTTTTCATTTACTCGATCTTATTTATGGTAATATTTACCTATTTTTCTCTTAATAAAAAAAGAAGAACCTACAATTGCTCCAATATATTGATTATTACTTATCAAAGGCTATGCACTCCTCAACCAAAGGGGTAACAACCCCCTTCCTCCAATTATTCTCATTTCAAAATATATTAATAGTATTTCTTTCCTTGCCATATATTTAATAGTTTGAAATATACCTCACTCTGTTCATCTTTAATCAAGCCATAAAATTAGAAGCTCAAGATTTTTAAACATCTCTAACATCTATAAAATTTTTTCCAACAGAAGCATGGGCAATTTCCATCACATTGGACCTCAGAGCTCAGACACGTAAGAGTCATTGATCCGCGACTCAATGCCCCAGCGGTCATTGTTGATCCAGACTTGGCCCTCCTTTTCTTAATTCATGTCTACATGAATTTTATTAATTCATCAAGTCACTAATAATAATGAAATAAATACCTCAAGTTACAAAACTTGAGTAAGTTCCTTTAAATGTCCTTAACCTCTGTCTAGAGAATTATCACTCATGGCAATATGTCCTGTTCATTATATGACTTCAATATTCAATCGGGATGATTCAAAACAATGCTTCTTATTTAACGTGTTATTTATGGTTGGGCCATGGTTCAATAATTATATTTCAAACTTTTTAAAGAATACAAGTGATTACCTTTAAAAAAAAAACCCCACAAAACCAAGACAAAAACTTTGACTATTCCCCACGTCAATCTGCATGCTCATAATTCATAGATGTAACTATAGAGACTGTGATCATGGAAGATGCTTAAATCAGCCCAAATGTGTCCACTCTAAGGAGTACAGAACAGAGGAGATGACAAAAATATTTCTGACATTATCTTCACTGGTCTCTGCTTTCCACCTTTCATTTAGTCGGTCACTTGGGTAGTTAGCTATTTGATATAACATTTCATCTTATCTTAGGTAAACAGTTTTGATCTTGCCACTGACAACAGAACATGAACACTGGCTATTATTTAACACTGTCTATATCATCCCTGGCCAAAGACTTCCACCCTTACACTATTTATTTCCTACTGAGTATCAGCTTTTTCCATATATATCAATCGTATTTCCTACCTAACCACATAGTTTATAAATGGACAATGCTTTTTATTAGTCATCATTATCTATACATTTTTAATGTTCTTTCATTGATCCAAATTATAATAGTTTGAAAATGCATGAACACAAAGACCAAAAACAAAATCCCTGTATGCCCCTGACATCTCTCTGTAAGATCACTTAAAATGGAGAGAATGGATTAGATTTCTTTGGTGTGGACCTCAGAGTTCCAGACACATGGTATCATCGTATATGACTCATTCGCCACCAGTCGTCATCATTGATCCAGTATGGTACCTCTTTTCTTCACTTATTTCTATTTGGTTACTGATCAAATCATTTATTCCCTAATAATAATATTAATAATAATGCTTAATCACTATGATTCATAAAACTCAAGAAGAGTTTTTATGCCCCTTATCCATGTATAAATTCTCACATCAATCTTTCATTAATTATCCACAGGTTCACAACTATGCAATAATCAATATAATACACATCAATCTCCTATTTATCACTAGTATACAGATGGCCATCTTTGTTTATACTTCTAAATAATCCTTTGAATATTCTTAAAACAAACCACCCAAACCAAGATAAGAACTATGACTATTACTCACACTGGTTTCTGTGCTCCTAACACATGATACAACCATCAAGCTCCTGACCATGGAAGCTGGTAAGTTCGTTCAAATATGTCCATTCTGAGGAGTACAAAGCAGAGCCGATGGTTTTTTAAAAAATCAGACCTCATCTCCATTAATCCTTGATTTCTACATTTTAATTACTCAGTGAGGTATTTATTAATTTCCCATAACTATATATACTTTTTCTCTTAACAAAAGGAATAGCCTCAAACTTGAAACTGATTTAGAACAACATAACTCTTACTAAGTAGTTCCTGTATGATCCCACATCAAAGGGTAACACTCTTGATCCATTTATTCCTTAATGCGTATCAGTGTTTTCAATTTTTATTAATAGTTTTTCCCTCACTATATATATTCATAGCTGAAAAATGCTTCACCCTTTTCTTCTTTATCTATTTATTCATTTTGTTTAATGATTCTATCATTGGTTCATAATAATGGTTAAGTCTAAATCTATGAATCTAAAAGAGGAACACATTTGTATATAGTTGGCATCTATTTCATTTCAAGCAGAAGGAACGGACCAGGTATTGTAGTGGACCTCAGAGTTCTGGATACGTAGTGGTCATCATCCATGACTCATACGCCACCAGGCATCATTACTGGTCCATGTGAGACCTTCATTCTCTTCACTGCTTTACATTTTATCAATCAAATCATTAATTCACAGATATTAATTTAAAAAACACATTATTCAAGAAAACACAAGAACAAGATCCTTAAATATACTTAAGATCTGTCTATAGAATCATTTCCAATATATAGTACATTTTTTTTGTTAAGGGACTTTAATTTTGCACATTATTGATTAATCAAAAGAATGTTTCCTACTGTAACTATTAATGGGCCAGGTGTGACTTTATTATGTTTAATACTTTTAAACAATGCCAGGAATATTCTTAAACAAATGACTGAAACCAAGATAAGAGCTTTGAGTATTATTCACCTTGTTCTCTTCCTAACCCAGAGGCAGCATAATCTTGATCATGGCAGAAGCTAAAATTTTTGGTGCATCCACTCTGAATACCGAGCAGACTAATAGTCATGTAGGCATTTACTAATTTATGGTAATCATTAATGATGGCTTATTAACTTATGACAATATTTATTTTTCTTTGTATACAATAAACATCAAACTTGCAACTGTCTTTCTGTCTATTCTAATTCACATTTCTTCTTTGATTAATTCACTAATGAAGAAATACAGATGAACCACAGAAAAGGCAAGATTCTTCAAAATCTCTAATATTCATCAATAACATCATTTAGTCTGGAGACTAAACCCTTTTCATTAACTGAATTCAGTGCTTGTTTCCCCACAGATTAACCAATGTAATGCTTCCTATCAATCTAACATTAAACATTGGCATGGTTGGTCTTCTTTACCACCCAAACCAAGATAAGAACTTGACTATTGTTCACATTGGTCTCCATGCTCCTGACATGTAAATGCAAACAAAAAGAACATGACTATGGAAAAATCTCTAAATAAAGTCGAATGGGTCCATTCTGAGGAGTAAGGGGCAGAGCAGATGATTAAAAAAAAAATTGAGACCTTCTACCCATTGGTTCACAAATTATACTATTCATTTATGTAACTATTCAGGTATTGATTATGTTAATATTTTTTTCTTAATAAATCAAATATCAAACTTGAAAATGATTCACAGAAATAACTGTTACCCATAATGAACTTAATGATGTAAGTTCATTAGTTATTAATGATAATAGGACTTAATAATTTTCTATTGCCATCCTTTTGTCAAAGTCAAAACACACTTGACAAAATAGACCTGGTACATTTTTTTGCCCATTCCAAATTATAATATCAATTTTCTTTGTACATTCCTGACATCAGTTTACAGGGTGAATTCAAAGAGAGGTACTGACCTGGAACTCTTTCATCTTGGACCTCAGAGTTCTAGACACGTATGCGTCATGTATGATTCACATGCCGCCAGCGGTCCTCACTGAGCCGGCAGTTCCCTCTTTGTCTTCATTCATGTCTACGGGCTTTTTGATTAAATAATTATTTCAATTCTACTAACTTTTAAATACAACGACTCACAAACACCTAAGAAGAGTTTTTATGTCCCTAATCTATGTATAGAATTATTTTCACCATAATCTCTCAATAATTTTCCTCAATTTTTCTCATGTACATTAACCAGTATGTTAACTATATCTCATATTTATCACTGTGACACACGTGACTTCTTTAAATGTATTTTGCATTTTTAACAATTAACCTATAAAAACAAGCAGCACTAAAACCAAAAGAATAACTTCAGATGTCACTCACATTAATCTCTGTCCTCCTATTGTATAGTCACAACCACAGGCCTCGTGACCATGGAAGATGGTTCCACCAACTCGAGTGCATTCATTCTGACAAGGACTGAGCACCATACATGATAAAAAATTGGGACCTCATCACCATTGATCCTTGATTTTCAATTCTCATAACTCAGTATTTAGGTGTTTATTACTTTTTCTTAATACATACTTTTTATCTTAACAAAAGGAAAAATTCAATCTTGAGATTGACCCAAAAAATAAAATCCACTGTTCCTTATCATAGTCAATATGAACCTTAGCCAATAACTGCTCTCTGGATCCATGAATTTTTTAATAAGCATCAATGTTTTAACTTTTACTAATAAAGTATTTTGCCCCATCACACTATGTTCATAATTAGACAATGCTTCACCCTATTCTTAATGTTTATTTATATTTGCTTGATACTTCTATCATTTTTATGCTAATAACAAATCTATGAAATCAATACAAGAATATGATTTTGTATGTTCACTACACTTCTTTATAGAAAAATTTCAACACAGGGGATATGCTAATTATGTCCTGCACTGGACCTCAGAGCTCCAGACACATTATTTTCACTGCCTGTGACTCCTGTGACACCAGTCACCATCACTGGTCCATGATTCACTTTATTTTTCCTTTTGCTCATTTCTACATTTGTATTGATTAAATCATGAATTCATTGATAATAATAAAAACAATGCATGGTTCAAAGAATTTTGGAACATGCTAACATCAGAGTACAGAATTATTTTCCACATTGACTATTATCTCTTTCAATAATAGCCCTCAATCTGACATAGCATGGATTTATCAAGACAATGTTTCATATCAATAATTGAGCTATGGCAAACTTCCTAATTAATTTTTTTGATATTACTGTAAATACCCTTAAACAAATGCCCCAACCCAAGACAATTTTAACTATTATGCATCTTGCTTTCTTTCTATACCCAGACACTACATGACAGTCTTAATGACAGCAGCTGAAATCAGTTCCAGGGTCCGCTCGGAGAGCAAGCAGAAACAATGATATAAATGTTGAGACTTTCTATTAATTCGTAGTTTCCAACACTTGTTTGCATAGTCATTTAGGCATTTATTACCTAATGTGAATATTTATTTTTTTCTTAATAAATCAAATGTCAAAGTTTAACTGATGCAACCAATAACTATTATCACTATCATTGTCAACATTAACAAACAACTGAATGAACAAATAAGTCTACTGTTCGCACTCAAAGGCATATACACCTGATCACTTTATTTTCCAGTCCAATTTATATTATCGTATTTCCTTATTATGTGTTCTCTAAACAGTGTTTCACCCTTTTCACATTTTTTAATTTATATATTTGTTTACTTATCCTGTCATTGATTTTTTAGTGATAATACTTTTAAATGATCAGGTACACAATGATTATTGATCATGTTTCTTTTTTTTAATAATACAGTGAAAATCTTCTTTTTAAAACCCACAAAACCAAGAAATAACTTTGAGTTTTACTCACATGGCTCTCCGTGTTCATAATGCATAGATGTAACCTGGTCATGCTTGAATTAACCAAATGCCATGATTCTGAGGAGTACAAGACATAGCAGATGACAAAAGATCAAGACATTCTGTTCATTTATTCTTGAATTCTACTTTTCACTCAGTCAGTCATGGAGGTAGGTTGTGAATTGAGTTGACCTGTCTTTTATTTTCTTAAGAAATGAATATTGATCTTGCCACTGACAAAGAACATGAATATTGGCTATTACTTATCAATAACTCTATCATCCTTAGTCAAAGAACAACTTCCTAATACATATATTTTCTAAAAAATATTTGTCCTCAGTATATAAAAAGAGTATTTCTTGCCTAAACACATACTTTTATAATTGGACAAAGTTTTTACCACCTTCCTCTTTATATGTACAGTTGACATTTGAACAATATGGGATACAACAATGTGGGTCCACTGAGGGTCTATGTGCAGAATTTTTTAAATAAATATACTGGAAAATTGTTTGGAGATTTGCAACAATTGAAAATTTTTATTCCTTTCCCTCACTTAATTTATTGTAAGAATACAGTATATAATACATATACAAAATGTGTATGAATCAACTGTTTATGCTATAGGTAAGGCTTCCAGTCAATAGAGGACTATTAGTAGTTTCAGCTTTTGGGGGAGTCAAAAGCTATATGCAGAGGGTTGATGTCCCTAATCCCCACATTATTCAAAGTTCAACTGTATTTATTGATCATTTCATTGAACTTTATGATAACAACAATAATAATAGAAATGCATGAACATGAAGGCCAAAACAAGATCCTTGATACTAACATGTGCATAGGATGCCTGAACCAAGGGCAGTGGACCACATCCATCTGTGTTGGACCTCATATATGACTGAAGTTCCAGACACATATTCATCGTATATGATTTATACACCACCAGTAGTCATCACTGATCCAATATGGTGCCTATTTTCTTCATTCATTTCTACAATCTATTGACTGATTCGAAAATTCAATAATAATAATCTTAAAAGCCAATTATTCACAAAAAGCCAAGAACAGCCCTGAAATCCCTATTCTGTATATAGAATTATTTTCACTTCAATATATCTATTTCTTTAAATATCCTATGTGTCTAGGTTTCCTATAAATTCTATATTTATCATTGGGCTACAGTTGACTCTCTTTATTATATATGATGCTTTTTAATAAATCACTGAAAATCCTGAAAATAATCACTGAAACCCGACAAGAACTTTGCCTGTTACTCACATTGGCCTCTGCCCCCGACACAGAGATACGATCCCAGAGCTCACCCCCATGGAACGACGCTCAGTCAGCTTGAGCACGTCCGTCCTGAGAACTATGGAGCACAGCTGATGATAAAAAACGTTAGTTCTTATCCGCACTGAACCTTGTCTTCCACATTCATTTACTCATTTAGATATTTCTAAATCAATCATACTACAGATATTTGTATCTTAACAAAATGAACAAGAAACTTGAGACAAACCCACACAATACAATTGACTATTAATTATCCGTACGTACACGATCCTAAGTCAAAGAGGTAACACTCTTAATCCATTTAATGTTTAATGAGTTTCACTGTTTTCAATTTTATTAACAGTATTTCTTGTCTTACCATGTATGTTCAAAGTTGAACAATGCTTTACCCTTTTTTCTTTACCTATTATTTACATTTCTTTAATAGTTTAATGTAATTAATCCACTAACAATAATAAATCTAAATCTATGAACCCAATACCTATATTGGGCATATTCCTCACATCTGTCTATTGGATCAAATGAACAGAGAATATGCTAGATGTTCCACTGGGCCCCAGTATCTGGGCATGCATTAGTCATCACCCATGATTTATCCACAGTCATCACCACTGACCCATGATTGGTCATCTTTCTTTCCATTCTCACAAACATTTGTTTATTAATTCACTAATAAATACACAAAAATAAAAATAAATAAGTGTAACATGCTTCAATATCCTTAATATGAATCTCTACAGTCTTTTCCACAGAGACCATTTCAAAATCTGACCTCAAGGTTGTATTTATGGATTAATCAATGTAATGTCTCATATCAATCTGATATTTAACATTGGCATAATTTGCCTTCTTTTATTATACTTAATATTTTGAGTAATACAGCAAATATCCTTGAACAATCCACCCAAGCAAAAACACTGGGATTACTCACATTGCTCTTTACCCTCACAAGGCAGATGCAACTAGGCCGTGACCATGGAAAATACTTGGTCAGCTAAGGAGCATCTATTCTGAGGAGGACAGAGCAGAGAGAGATACTCTTTGAATGAATAGAAAGACCGCATTTCTTCTGTGTTGGGCGTCAGAGTCCCAGTCACGAGACCGCATTTCTTCTGTGTTGGACGTCAGAGTCCCAGTCACGAATCATTCACTGTCCAAGCCTCATATGCCACAGTCACCATCATTGATCCAGAAAGACCACTTTTTCTTCATTTCTGCATTGCTTACTGATTAATTTGCTAATTCACTAATTACAATTTTAAGGCTTCCTCTAACAGCCCCAACAAGGCCTAGTATGTAACTAGAATCATTCTCCCAACAGAATATATCTCTCATTAATCACCTTCAGTTTTTCATATATGTATTTATCAAAATAATATTTTGTGTGAGTACTATGATACAGTTCAACCACTTTGATTATATTTCACACTTCTTATTACTACAACAAATGCCCTTAAACCAAGGGTATTCAGAATGAGAACTAAGGCAAGAGCTTTGATTGTGACTCACATTGGTCTCCAGGCTCCTTAAACACAGATGCAAGCCGCTGGCTTTTGATCAAGGGAGAATCTAAAAGCAGGTGCAGTGTGACCTTTCTGAGGAGAACAGGGCTTTGCAGAGATGGAAAAGTAACAATGCTCTCCATTGATCCTTGCTTTTCACCTTTCATTTAGTAAGGTAAAGTTTAGGCGATCACTAATCGGGTATACATACTTTTTTGTCCTAAGAAAATAAAACAGCTTTGATTTTGCCACTGACCCAGAATCTAATGTTGTCTATGCCTTGTCCTATCCACGTCATCCTTAGTCATCCAGTAACAGCCATGTACCATTTACTTCTAAGTGAACGTCAGGGTTTCCTGAATACATTAAAAGTATTTCTTGCACAAGCCCTATTTTTATAATTGGACAATGCTTCATACCATTCATATCTATATATTTATTCATAGATTCTCGTGTTGATCCAATTATAATAATACATGAAAATACATGAACACTAAGACCAAAAACAAGTCCCTCATTTATTCCTGATATGTGTCCATAGAAGTCCTTCAAACAATGGGAACAGACTAGATTTCTCTTCTGTTGAACCTAAGAGTTCCAGACACGTATTCATCGTAAGTGGCCCAGACGCCAACAGGAGTCGTCGTCATTCCAATACTGTCCCTCTTTCTTGTCATTCATTTGTTTGTTCAATGATTAAATCATTGATTCACTAATAGTAATTTCAATGCTTTCTAAATGCACCAAACCCAAGAGTTTGTATGTCCCTAATCTGTACACAGGTTATTCTCACATCAGTGTATCTCTTTCATTAATTATGCTGTTTCCTATGCATGGCTTAATCAATACAGTGTTTCAGATATCCCATCTTTTCACTGAGCTACACTGCCTTCCTCAACTACATTTTGTACTTTTTAATAATACAATTACTTTTAAAAAACAACACTTAACCAAAAAAATAACTTGAAGTGTTACTCACATTAATCTGTCCTCCTATTATACAGAGGCAACCACGGAGCTCGTGACCATGGAAGATCCAAATCAGCTCAAAGGAGTCTTGTTCTGAGGAGTACAGAGCAGAACAAGGGACCAAAAAACTGAGATTTAGACATTTATTCTTCTATCTTAATATGTATTCATGTATCCCAACAGAATGAAAAACGCAAATCCTGAGGCTGACCCAGAACAATACAGCTGATTCTTAGTAATCAATGACTACATGCTTCTTAACCCAAGAGCTGGTACCTGACACATCTGTTGCTTAATAAGCATCAGTGTTCTCAATTTTATTAATAATTATCATTTTCCTTACCATGTATTCTCTCAGTTAGGCAATGTTTCACCCTATGCTTCTTTAATTTTCATTGATTTAATTCTTCTATCATTATTCCATTAATAATAACACATCTACATCTATGAATCTGTACAAAAATATGACATTTGTATTGTTTGGTATTGATCCTGACAACTCACTATAGAAAAAATTTGGCCATAAAATCAGTGGCATTTCCTGTCTACCCTGATATTTTTTAAATTGCACAGAATTTCACCCCCTTATCTACTTATTTGTATATTTGTTACTTAACTGATTCAGTCAGAAGGACGGGAAAAAAATGCATGAACACAAAAGCTAAAACCAAGGCCCTTTATAAGTTCCTTACATCTGTTTATAAGGTCACTTCAAACAGGGAAAATGGACCAGATTCTTTATCTGCTGGACATAGTTGCAGACATGTATTCATCATATATGATTCATGCACCACCAGTAGTCACCCCTGATCCAATATTGTCCCTCTTCTTCATTTATTTCTACATCGTTTATTGACCAATTCATTAATTTACTAATTTTAATTTTAAAACTCACAATACCCTAAAAAGGCAATGATAGCTCTAATTTGTACCTGAATCATGCTCATATCAATATATGTTTCATTATTAACCCCAAATTTCACTTTTGCATTAATTGGTATAATGCTTCAAATTAATTTGGTATTTCTCAATGGGCTACAAATGGCCTTCTTCAATTCCCTGTGGGGCTTTTTAAAATTTTTTCTAGAAAATTGGCCTTCTTTTTATTTTTAATTTTTGTAACTAGTATATTATATTGGAGCATAATTGATACACAGTATGTCCAGTGTACGACATAGTGCCTAGTGCTTTCACAGTCAACTACATTATTAATGCTCAACTCAACAAGTGTAGTTACTATCAAAGGATGTTACAGAACTATTGAGTATATTCTCTATGCTACACTTTCATCCTGTGACTAATTTATATTATGAGATTTTTATATATGGCACTTTCTAAAACTACACCAAATCCCCTAGGGGGAAAAAGAAATGAAACACTGTAATCCAGGCAAGAACTTTGACTTCACTGCCAGGGGTCTCTGGGAGTTCATAAACATACGCTTTTATGTTCTCCTGACAGGGAGCTGGTACCCGAGAGCAAGTCACCACTGAATAATGCTTCTTCAGCTCGGAAAAGCGTCCATGCTGAGAAACCCAAAGCACAACTGAAGACAGAAATGTAAGGTTTTATATGGACCGGACCTTCATTTCCGCAGTTCATTACTGAGTCACCTCACTTAGGTACTTAAGGTTTTTTTGTAATGTACGTAGTATTTTCTCTTAACAAAATAACAACCTCAAACTTGAGCCTGACCCAGAACAGTAAAATGTACTCTTTAAATATCCACATTTATATGATCCTTAGTTAGATAACATCCTTGATCAGTTTATCTCTTAACGAACTTCAGGTTTTCCATTTTTATTAGAGTTGATCCCTCACCACATATGTTCATAGTTACTCCATGTTCACCTTTTTTATCTATTATTCAATTTCCTTTATGTTCCTATAAGCCTATTAATAATAAGCATAAATATATGAACTCAATATAAGAATATGACTTTGATATGCCCAACATCTGTCTATAGTATCAAATATAGCAGGAAGAATGTTCTAGGCATTTTATCTGACCTTTAGGTTCCAGACACATCTTATGCCCCCAGTCATCATCATTGGTCCATTAGAAGCCCACATTTTCTTCGTTCATTTCTACAGATATTAACTCATTAACTCTGTAATAATAACAAAATAAATTCATGATTCACAAAAACTAAAGAATAAAATCCTTCATGTATTACCTCTACCTATAGAACCACTGCCAACATAGCTTATGTCTTTTGTTAATCAATGTTACCTATTAGCAATTAATTAACATAATGTTTTATATCATATTTATCATTGGACAATAATGAACATTTTTAGCATGCGTATTCTTTTTTAATATTACCATGAATACCCCCAAACAAATAAGCCAAACCAAGACAAGACCTTTGATTACTCCTCACTTTGGTCTCTTTCCTAACATGAAGTCAATATTTTCAATAACAAAAACATGGCAATAGAGAAATCAACTTCATTATCTGTTCTGAGAGAACCCAGCAAAGAAGCTGATAAACACACTTGAGAATTTCTCTCCATTGATTCATAATTTCCACCATCTCCTTGCATAGCTGTTTAGGCATTGATTAATTTATGATACTATTTTCTTCTTAATAAGATAAACTTCAAACCTACAACTGATTCAGGCAATAACTGACTATTATATTTCATTGTCTACATCAACCTTAGTCAAAGATGTAATACATTTGGTCCAATTATTATCCATTCTAATGTTTACTGTTTTACTTTCCTACATATTTAGCAAAGAGCAGTGGTTCACCCTCTTCATCTTTATTCACTTAAATATTTCTTATTTTTTTCTACCATTGATAATTAATAAATATTCTTAAATTCATGAACACAAAGACCAAGAAAAAAAAGTATGTGTATTCCTGACACCTGTGTATAGGATCCCTTGACTCATGGGGAACGGACTAGATGATTTTTGTAACTCAAGAGTCTTAGACCTGTAGTATGCACTGTATACGGCTGATACACCATCAGCAATTGTTGATCCACAACTGGCCCTCTGTAATTTTGTTCTCATAAACATTTGTTTATAGATTAAGTCATTATAAAAAACAAACATTAATTTAAAAAAAACAAAGATGAGATCATTCACTATCTCTATCACCCATCTGTAGAATAATTCCCAGAGACTAATCTTTTTCATTAGCTGATTTCAGTGTCATATTTATGGATCAGTCAACATATTTTTTCATATCATTTCAATGTTCAGCATTGGCATATTTCAACTTCTTTGATCATATTTAATACTTTTGAATAATATAGTGAATAGCCTTAAACAAACAACTCAAACTAAGGCAACAGCTCTGACAATTACTCACAGACAGTGTTCCTACCACAGCTGGTGATCTTGGAAGGATGCACAATCAGCACAGTGCATCCAGTCTGGAGAGCAGGTGATAAAAAAAAGAGACATCTTCATTTACACTTGCTTTACTTCAGTGTTTTCAAATTCTATTAATTGAATTTCTTGCCTTACCACTTATTTTTTAAATTGGACAAGACTTCTACAATTCATCTTTGGTTAATATGCATTTCTTCATTGATATGTCACTGATTCAATTATAGTAACAAGTAAAAATGCATGAAGAGAAAAACCACATTTCTTCTGTGTTGGACCTCAGAGTTCCAGACACACATTATTCGTCATCATGACTCATACGCTGGCAGTCGTCATCATCGATCCAGAAAAGACTGCTTTCGCTTCATTCATTTCTACATTGTTTATTGATTAATGATTTCATTCACTAATTATAATTTTAAAACCCTATTATTCACAAAGCTCTACAATACTTTGATACTCTAATATGTATCTAGAATCATTCCCCCATCAACACATCTCTGTCATTACCTTCAGTTTTCACATATGCTTTAATCAATTCGATGCTTCCTGTTAATTCAGGGTTTATCAGTGGAACACAGTTGGCCCTCTTTGACCATATTTCATATTTTTTATTAATACAATGAATACTCTTATACTACCCAAGACAAGAGCTTTGATTGTTGTACTCACATTGGTCTCCAGGCTCCTAAAACACAGATGCACGCAAGGGCTCTTGACCAAGGAGGAATCCTTAAGTGAGGTCCGGGGTGCCCATTCTGAGGAGTGCAGGGCAGAGCAGATGACAGAAATAGTTGAGACATTCTCTCCATTGATCCTTCTCCAAAAGGGAACAATCACGTACCATTTATTTCTAACCGAACTTCACGTTCTCAAAACATAGTAATGGTATTTCTTGCCTCATCACATACTTTTAGGATTTGACAGTGCTTCACTCCATCTTTTATTTATATATTTATAGATTCTCACAATACATAATCTATCATATTATAACAGAATGAAAATGCATGAGTGGGAAAAAAAATAAACCCCTAGTTTATTCCTGACATGCATCCATAGGATGGCTTCAAACAATGAGAATGGACTAAATTTCTCTTTTGTCGGACCTCAGAGTTCTAGACACGTATTCATCGTAAATGACTCATACGCCACCAGTAGTCATCATCGATCCAGTATTGTTCCTCTTTTCATCCATTTCTGTTTATTACTTTTATCATTAATAATTTTTAAATGCTATGTAAACAAAAGTCCTTGAACAGCGTTTATATCTCTAATTCAACATAGATTATTCTCACATGATTGTATCTTTTATTAATTGTCCTCAATTTTCTACACATGGATTAACTGATACATTTCACATATCCCATGTTTATCACTGAGATACAGTTGTCTTCTGTAATTTTATTTCATACTTTCTAGTACTACAGTTAATTACCTTAAAAATAAACTTGGAGCAAAAATGAACAAGTGGGACTATATCAAGCTGAAAAGCTTCTGTACAGCAAAGGACACCATCAA